AGTGTCGAATGTCTGAGGTCAGATTTGAACTCAAGTCCTCTTGACTCCCAAGGTGGTGCTCTATCCACTGTGCTAACTAGCCTTTTAAAAAGGCACCTATTATGCCCATCCATTGAGGAATAGCAAAACAAGTTGTGGCATATGAATGTAATGGAATATTACTGTGTTATAAGAAACGATGACTATGATGGATACAGAGAAGCATGGAAAGACTTATGTGAACTGAAGCAAAGCAAAATCAGCAGATCCAGGAAAATAATGTACACAATGACTGCAACAATGTAAGCAGAGAGACCAACATAGCAAAACTGAAACTGAATGCTACAAAATTATAAAGACAAGCTTTGCCCCCAAAGAATAGCTATGGGAAGACATTTCCCTCTGCTTGTTTGCACAAGTGGGGAATCATTCCACAGAACTGCAACATTGGATCCCCCCATATTTTTGGGAAATTCCCCCATATTCCCCCATAGTTTTGCTGAATTGTTCCCCCCTGTTTGTTATAAGGGATGGTTCTCTGGAAGGGATGAAAAGGAAGGAAATGGTGTAGGTGATATACAAATGACACCAATATTTATTTTCTAAATTTATTTTCTAAAAAGGCATCTGTAGAAGATAGAAGTGGAGTCAGATAAACCTTTGGACCTCTTCAGTATTTCTGAGTTACAGTTACTGAGGATGAATATCAAAATGGGCCAGTCTTTCCTGTAGAAAGTGTAGGATTAGTGCAAATAATGATAAAATCTAAAATAAATGAAGGCTGATAATGAATAAATGAATGAATGAAGAAGACATTATAAAAAAGTTTGTTAAGCACCTGCTTGGTGGCAAGGGCAACTGCCAGGCCTGGAGAAAGGGAGGCCTGAATACAATTCCAGCCTCAAATACTTACTATGTGACCCTGGGCAAGTCACTTAACCCTGTTTGCTTCAGCTTCCTCATTTGTAAAATAAATTGGAGAAGGAAATGATAGACTACTTCAGTGTCTTTGCTAAGAAAACTCTAAACGGGGTCACGAAGAGTCAGACATGACTGAAACAACTGAATAACAACAACACATGTCAAACACCATGCTGAGTATTAGGGATAGAAAAATAAAAGCAAAGACAATGTCTGCTCTCAAGGAGTTTACAATAAGAAGAGATAACATGTATAGAGGACAACATTTATAGAGTTGCCAGGAGGGGTATTTTGGTTTGGTGGTTGGAAAGGCATATCCAAGGCCATATAACTAAATAAGTGGTAGAGAGTCATGCTAGAGTAATCTAATTTCCTTATTTGACATTTTTACTAGACAGGTAAATCAAGAAAATTCTCTAGGCATAGAATACCTAGGATGGTGAGTGGAACCATAGGGGAGTAGATTGACAACACACCTTTTCCAGGAACATGGTTCCAGAACTCGAAAGCAGGATCAAGGCTGAGGACAGGAAGATGGTGAGAGAATACATTGAAGAAGAGGCTGGACTAGCTGACCTGATATAATGGGTGATGCACCAAGCAGGACCTCAGGGACCTCAGGATAGGAATTATGGAGATGAAAGAACAAAATCCTGAAGGTCATGGCTTTCTGGCCTGAACAGCAAAGTGGCCGGTGAAAAGATGTTTGAATGTCAAGGTCACCAAAAGAGATTTCTTAGTTCCTGGAGATAATATGAAAGTTTAAGAGAAAGGACAACTAGAAAAATAACTTCCTATTTTGTTTCTCTTTTTTTCTATCACAGAGAATAATCATCAGACTGGGAAATACAGAATAGAAGTAGTAAATAAGGTCTGGAAGCACAAAATTTCAATCTCTTTTCTTAGTTGACTCCTTTTGCAGCTTTTGACATTGTTTTCCATCCCCTCCCCCACAACCAAGATGCTCTCTCCCTCTTTGGCTTCAATAACATAGCTCTTTCCTGGTCCTCCTTCTACATGTCTGACTGTCCTTTTACTAGTTCATCAACCATGTCTCATACCTTAACCATGTTTATCCTCCAAATTTTGATCCTAAAGCCCTTTCCTCCTTTCTTTTCACTCTTTCACTTAGTGATCTCTTCAGCTCCCTTGGGTTCAATTACTATCTCTATGACAGTGACTCCAAAATCTATATTATATATCCATCCCTAATATTTTTCTCCCTTGTGCTCCAATCCCCAATCATTAATTGTCTGCCAGACATTTCTACATGAATGAGGCAGAGGGGAGTAGTGGAAAGAATGCTGGTTTCAAAGTCAGATGACTTGGGTTCAAATATTGACTCTTCAGCTTACTACCTGTATAATCTTGAGCAAATCACTTCACATCTCTTTGGGCTTCAGTTTCCTCATTTGCAAAATGAGGTGGGGCAGGACTGGATCAGATGTTTCTTTAAGATACCTTCCAGTCATAAATCTAAGAAATAAAATTCTGTAGGCACCTCAAACTCAACATGTTCAAAATAGAACTCCTCTTTTCCCCTAAAACCATCCCTTCTCCAAAGCTCCCCATTTCTGTTAAGGGTAGCGCCTAGTATTCACTAGAAAATCACCTAGTTTGCAGCATCAATCATTCTTGACTCTTCTGTATTCTTCAGCTGTCATATGCAATCAGCTGCCAATTTTTAGCAAATTTACACTCACAGCATCTCTTGCATCTTTCTCTTTGTGCTCATTGTGTATCTTAGCTTAGGCCTCATCACCTCTTGCCCAGACTAATTACTAGTCTCATAATTACTGGCACTCTTTTCCAGTCTTTTCTCTCTTCCATTCATCTCTCCTATAGTTGAGAAAATAATCTTTCTTTAGCACAGACATGAATATATCATTTTAAGCCTCAAAAATCTTAAAAAAAATACTTCCCTATTATGACTCTAGGATCAAATACAAATTTCTCAGGCTAGTGTTTAAGGCCCTTTACAATCTAGCCACAGCCTATTCAGACTTACTAGCTTTCACAAACTTTGTTCTAGCCAAACTGGCCTGCTCCTTCAAACTTGGCATTCTGCCACCTCCATGCATTGTACAAGTTTTAACCTGTGCCTGAAACACGCTCTCTCCTTCTCTTTGCCTCTTATAATCCTTAGCTTTCTTCAGCACTCAGCTAGATAGAACCTCTGTGAAGCCTTTTCTGATTCCATCTCCATCCTCAAATAATCTTGTATTTACCTATTTGTTTGCATGTTGTATCCCCAAATAGATGTAAGCTACCTAAAGAAAAATACTGTTTCTCTTTTTGGTCTTTGTATCTTTTTAAGGCCTAGCACATAGAAGGAACTTAATAATTAAAATAAAAAACAAAACCTGAAGTGCAGAAGTATTAAGAGAGCACCTGAATACTCTCAGTGAGTTCAAGGCACCAGACTCAGTTAAATCCATCCCAATATAATAAAAGAAATCATAGATGTGTTTGCTGGGACACTGTTGATGATCTCTGAAAAATTGTGAATGTTATAAAAGAGGCCATGGTACTTGGAATAGGCAAATGTTCTCCTGACGATTGAAAAGGCAGCTTCTTTAGACTTTTGGCCAGTAAATTTGATTTAACTGCTGGCAAATTAAAGAATGTATTATGAAAAGATAGTTTGAGAGGTCCTAGAAAGTGAGACAGTGACCACTCTGAACCAGTGTGGGTTAATGAAGAACAAGTCACAGAACTGTAAAAAGATACCTTAGATATCATCTACTCAAATCTTCCATCCCCAATTTAGAGATGAGAAAATTGAAGCTCAGAGCATTGAATTGACTTGTCAGGCAGGTAGTCAGAAGCAATTATTAAGCAAGGCACTATGCTAAGCAATGGGAATACAAAAAAAGACAAAAAGAAGTTGCTGCCTTCAAAGATCGTGCATTCTAAAGTGGGACACCACACAAAAATAACTGGGTACTTGCAAGATATATACTGAGCAATCTGATCCACATCCAAAGAAAGAACTATGGAGTTTGAATGCAGATCGAAGCATACTATTTGCAATTTTTTTTTCTTCTGTTGTGTTTGTTTCCTCTTTCTGGTGGTTCCTCCTATTGGTTCTAATTCTTACTTACAACATTGCTGATGTGAAAATATGTTTAATAGGAATGTATATGGATAGCCTATATCAGATTGTGTGCCATCTTGGGGAGGGAGGTGGAAAGGGAGAGGGGGAAAAATTTAAAACTCGAAAGCTTATGGAAGTGATTGTTGATAAATCAAAATAAATTAATTTTTTTTAAAAAAGAAAGTAATCTGAGAGGGGAAAGCATTATGTAAGGCCATATAACTAATAAATGGTTGAGAGTCTTGCTAGACTAACTTGATTTTTTTTCCCCAGCAAAATGAGGAGAAATATAGGCTACATGGATTCAAAACTAGTTGAACAGTTGTATCAAAAGATGAATGATTAATGAGTCTATGTCAGTCTATAAGGAGGTATAGAAGTCTACTCTTCTTTTAGAGAAATAAATGTAAAGTCCTATGTTTCAATTCAATAAATCAATTGCCAAGACAGCAACAGTTAATGACACGTGCTAGCAAAAAAGACATTCAGATGAGGATGAGCTTACTGCATTTGTAATCCAACACACATTTTCATAGAACTTATGCAGATAATTAAGGACAAATTGGACATTTTTATTTGAAATAGCTAGAAAATTACTATAATTGCCCATTTTACATGGTCCTTCAGGAACTTACTTTCCAATGCCAATCCTTGTTCATCTAATAAATACATTTTGTTTGATTTGGCTTATCTGTATAATTTGTTAAATGCTAAATTTGATCATTTTAAAATTTAGGATTTTAAGCAAATGCCATCAAGCTATTAATAAGGCCATGAAATGGATCTTTATGTTTTCCCTTTTGAATTTCTCAATATAACGTTTTTTCTTTGGCAAGTATTTGTTTTTTTAAATGTTCTGTGTAGTATTTATGAGGAAATATGAACAAGAATAACTCTCAGAAGTATGTGAGGGGCTGAAACTTATACCAGTAGGAAGGAATGTTCACCCTGATGAAACCAAGACTCTTTGAAAGTATTAAAAGATAACAGAATATAGACTCACTCTTCTTTTTGTTTCTGATTTTTGGACTGGTGTAACATTCTGGTGCCCAATTCGAAAAGGTGATCCCCTTCCACAGTTCGATTTCTCTTCGTTTGTCTTGTTACTATATAAGTACAAATAGAACACGAAAGAAATAAAACAGCCCTATGCTTTTAGTTTAGGTCTTTAATAATATGTATCACAAATCATAGTACATACTTTTTATAGTACGCTACAGTTTTCAAAATAGTTTTTGCATTTGATCCTTACAATGTCATCATTGGGAAAGGCTAGGAATTATTATTCCCATTTTATATGGTGCTCGGAGGAGTTACATGACTTGTCCAAAGTCCCAGAGCTAGAATAGAAGAGGCGGGGAGAACTCAGATCATCTGATACCAGTCCTCTGCTCTTTCTGCTACACAGCACTGCCCCGAAAGAGGTTTTTAATGTATTTAGCAAAAGCTGTGATTCAAAACTCGAGGAATCAAAAAAGAAAGCAATTTCAAATGAGAGGGACACAATGATTCCATATTCCATTAACGAGACCGCAAAGAACTATTAATGGCCCTGATCATTTGCTAAGAGAAGACACATAAACATGTTACTTCCTTTACAACTTCCTTCTTTCCTTCTGACAACTCATCTAGAAGGTGTGGTCTCCATCTTTGTGGGTTTAGAAACTTTGTCAGTTTGTTTAAGTGCAAAGTTTTTTTTTCCACTTAAAGATGATTTGCAACTATTTTTGGACAACTCTGGCTACCTAATCAATTTTGTAAGAGAGGGCACTTTTAGTACCTAATTTCTTCTTTGAATTACATGTTATCAAGTCTTTGGACTAAAGGCACATTTTTTAATGGGAAAAACCTATCAAATTGGCTTTGCAAAAGCAACTCCTTCTATTTAAATACCCAATGAATGAACTGGAATTGAATTTAAAGAGTCTATTCTCTATACACATTTATGCCAGAAATCATTAACATCTGTAATTTTCCTTTTATAACATTCTTTCATTTGCAATTCTTTTCAGGCTCTGCATTTGTTTTGAAAAACAAATCTATGTTATCAATGGAGTTCCCAACCTAAAACTAAAGTCTTTTATCTTGATGGGTGTTTTATTTATTTGTGTGTATGTGTGTGTGTGTGTGTGTGTGTGTGTGTGTGTGTGTGTGTGGTTTAACACATCATAGGTTTGTAGAAAACATCTATTGTGAATTCTGGGCTATATGCCGTTATGGCATTCTATTGTATATTACTCTACATTTTAGTCTGCACATGCTTATATATGTATATGTTGATTCTGAAGCTAAACTATAAGTTCCTTGAGAACAAGGATTGCTTATATTTTTTTGTCTTTGTGTTTTCAGTGCCTAACTCAGTGTCTGGCATGTAGTGGGCTCTTAATAAAGGTTTGTTGATTGATCAAAGGGGAGAGTGCACCAGAAATTTTTTTGGGGGGGAGATCAGAAAAGGCCTTGTGTTGGAAATGGCACAGACCTTTAAAAGTGAAATTTCTCTGGAGTTATAGATGACAGAGTGTATTCTAACAGAGTACTTGAAAAAAAAGTGTTGCAGGGGTAGAGAAGGAGAGTGAGTGAGAAGGGAAGCCCTTTGTGCTTATACAAATGGTAGTATTTTAAGACATTTTACAAATACTGCAAAAAAAAAAATTTGGAGCAGTGCCAATAAAACATTTAAGCTGCTGTATGAAAACATGTCAGTCAATAGGATAGCCAAAAACTAAATCCACCTATACAAGAGACTCTAATTCCCTCCCAATGCTGCAAGCTGTCCTTTTGTATAGCAAGGGGATGTTGAGAACCTGGCAGCTGCAATAAGTACCATCTATTGTGGAACTCCATAGAATTATCCATTTAAAAAAGAATTACTCTGGTTGGGGTCTATCAAGGCAGAAGGAGTCCAAACTGGTTCCACTCTAGTCTGTTTCTTCATCTGTAAAATGAGTATGGTAATAGGACCTATCTCCCATTTCATAGGGTTATTGTGAGGATCAAAAGAGATAATATATGTAAAGTGCTCTGCATCCCTAAAGAATTACATAAATATTAATGGTTTGATGGATTACTAAATAATGAAGATTAGTGTGCTGGAGAGGCAGGACAATGTTATTTTCTTCTGAATTCAAATTTGGTGTGGCCATAATCACAGGGTGTCAATTTCGATTCTTCAGAAGGAAGCAATCACCTTTGTTACAATGGTTGAATTTACCTAGCTTTTCCCTAAGTAAATTCTAGAGTCTTAAAGAAGTCACTAGAGAAAAACAGAAAGTCGTCCAATGACAGTAACAATAACTGGCATTTCTATAGTGCTCTAACGTTTGCAAAGAACCTTACAAGTTAACTTATATGTTAAATCCTTAATGTTTGTTCCTGTATAGGAGTATATAAAAGCCCAAACAGTGTATATCCCCAAAGTGTAAGAATAACACAGGTATTAAAAAAAAAGGTCATTCTTAGAGATGTATTGCTGATGAAAAATATTGCTGATGTATTTTCCAAATCTCACTAAGGATTCTCCAGCAAGAAGATTAGAATGTCTTCAGATCTCATCCAAGAGACTCAAAATGTAACTAGCAAGATAAGCTGGGGTCTACCTAATTGCTGCCCCTCCAAAGGCATGTTATTATAAAAAAAAGAGAATGGAATCAACAAAAAGTTGAGTCCAAGACTAAGATCAATCAGTGTTTATCAAGCTTTGTCCAGACAAAGGAAGCTGTGTTTCTAAGAAGTGGCACTGGTTTTCTAGGCAAAATCACCCTATCCTAGAAAATGATAATTCTTCAAGCTACTATAACCTAATAGAAACATCCTTTAAGGCTGTCCAATTCCATTTCTCTTTGCTCTAATGATATATTTATTAAGAAACTTTCTAGTCTATAATTTGGTCTCTTCTTTAGTGTGCTGACCTAATAGGAGGGAATGCCTTCTTTAAATGACTTTTTATCCTTACAGATATAGTCCTCTTTGTAAATTAATCAGCTGGCATCCTGGTTTTTAAATCAATCTCTTCTGTGAGTTTGTTTAGTGTGACTATATTTCTTAGAGCCTCATCACTTTTCAGAAAAGTGATAATGTTTTTGAATCCACAAAGATGAAGGAACAGACTGTGGATTCACCATGACCCTCCCCCTCCCCAGATTGCAGATACCCTCTAAAAGGCCCTGCCTGTCTAGCTCTCTTTGTCTCTTTCTTGATCACAGTCTCTCCTATCTCTTTGCAAAATGTTGAAGAAAGGGGATGATATTCTATGCTTATGGTTAAGTGTGGTAGGAAGGTTAAACAATTTTAAAAGCATTTTTTTTCTTTTAACAAAACATTTTTAAATGACAGTTTCAAATTAGGAAACAATTTTTAAAATGTCTCTTATGATCCTCTTATTCTTCCATGTGTGAGCTTTGCTTTGTTGTATAATTTAGGGTTTTAGGTTTAGAGTTAGAAAACACCATAGAGGTCATCTAGTCCAATTGCTTGACTTCAGAAGCTCACAGGATCACAATTTAAGAGTTGGAAGAGACCTTAGATGCCATCAAGTTCAATCCTTTCATTTTATAGGTGAGAAAACTAAGTCCTGGAGAGGGTAAGTGACTTGTTCATAATCATACAGTTAATACATATGTATCTAAGGCAGGTTTGAAACTCAGGTCTTCCTGCTTCTAGTTTCAGACCTCTGAACCATACTGTACCACACTGCCTCATACACCAACAGAAAAATCCATATTTATGTAAAGGCAGACCCTTTGTATGAGTGTGTATGAATATATAAGAAAAAGTAGCCGTATCTTTATTGTTGATTATAATAAAGTAATCATTCCACTAGGTTAGCTAGGTAGGGCAGTTGATATAGTGCCAGGACTGAAGTCAAGAGTACTTACCTTCCTGACTCAAATCTGGCCTTAGGCACTTACTCTCTGTGTGACTCTGGCGAAGTCACTTAACCTTGTTTGCCTCAGTTTCCTCAACTGTGAGAGGAGCTGGAGAAGAAATGGCAAACCACTCCAGTATCTTTGCCAAGAAAACCCCAAATGGGTTACAAAGAGTAGGACGTGAGTGAAAACTAACGGAACAACAAATCATTCTACTAATTAGTTGTCATTCATAGCTTTTTTTGTTTTTCATGTGGAGTGGAGGATACACAATGACTGTGCCTAGATATGAAAGAGGATTTATTTTAGTTAGTTAATTCATTCTCCCCACTCTACCCTTTCAGTTAATTCAGTCTAACATCTAGTCAACTAAGTCAAATAATTGACTAGTTGTTTTGTCTAAATTGGCCGTGGGGTTTTAAAGATCTTGGTTGGTCATCATAAGAGTTGGTATATGATTATATTCACAATGAATACTTTTCTTTATGTATAAATCTTTGAAGGTACTTTAAAAATTGTAAATATGCCAACCTATGAAGAGATGGATGGATAAGTTTGCATTAAATTACTAGACAAGGTATCAGGCGGTTTGGTACAGAGAAGTGAGAAATTCAGTTTATAGTATCTTACTGTGAATGAGGAATCATATGAGATAAGGCTGCAAAGGTAGACTGGGACCAGTATTATAGAAGACTTTAAGTACTAGGCTAAGGGGTTAGTACTTTATTGAATCTTAATGTCTTTTAGGCTGATGCCATCTCTTTGTTGTTCAGTCATTGCAGTCGGGTGCAACTATGTGATTTCATTTAGGGTTTTCTTGGCAGTAATCCTGGACTGATTTTCCATTTTCTTTCTCTAGTTCATTTTACAGATGAAGAAACTGGCCAATAGGATTAAGTGACCTGCCCAGAGTCACACAGCTAGTGTTTGAGTTCAAATTTGAACTCAAGATGGGTCTTCTTGACTTCAGGCCCAGCATTTTATCCACTGCACCACCTATTTGCCCAATGTAAGTCATTTAGTTCACTCAAACTTGAACCAGAATTCTTTCTACAGCTTATTCAATAAGAGGTATTCTAGATTTTGCCAGTCCTTTTGTACCACTACTTCCAAAGGCAGCACATACCACTTTTGGGCTTTCTTTTGCCAAAAAGAATGATTGGTAGACAATTTTCACAAAGGGAAGAGTCTTCAAGCTACAAACCAGTGACCTTGGCTTGAATTTTGACAAAATTCTAGAG